GGTCCCGCCGGTGCAGAGTAGCAGGAAGCTCCTCAGATGTGTTTTTATCACAGCACTATGAGCAATACCCTATGGATGGAAGCAATGGAGGCGCCCATCAGTTATGGATGGATAAACGTGGCAAACATGCCCCACGGTGTACTACTCCAGCCTTTATTACAAAATGAACTATTATCCTTTATGAAAACATGGATGAAACTGGAGAGTATTATGTTAAGTAGAAGACAAGGGATACATGACCCTGCTCACACATGAAATATAAAAATTTTAGCTTATGGAAACTGAAAAGAGTGATGATTACCAGAAACTGGAGTGAGTGGCAAAGAAGCTTGCAGATAGGGAAAGGTGGATCAGTGAAGACTAAGCTGCTGTAGAAAAAAAGTAAAAAAAAAAATCTCTAGCATGTGGTCAGAGGTTTGTCCTGAATATTCTAAAAAGCTGGAAGAAAGAATATCAAATGACTTTACTAGAAAGCACTGAGGAAGGTTTGAGGCAACACATAACTTTAAACCGCAGAAGCATCACATGGTACTCCATTAATTATGAACACTTCTCTTTTTATGCACCCGTTTAAAATAAATGTAAATTACGAAATTACTGTCATCACAAAGTAAAAAATCTGGGGTTTTTTTTGTTTGAAAACCAAAATAGTCAAAAATATCTTATATTTCGATAAAGTGCAGCAAGTACAGTTTTTCCTAGATTGCTTCATTAGTGAGCTATTCAGTCGTGTATCAACAATGCTGGAAAAGATATAGCAATATTCTGTTCCTTTATAAGAGCAGTGTGAGACAGGTTCAAAGACTCAACACTACATCTAGAAAAAAAACCAAAAAAGACATGAAAACATTGATTTTTTTTTTTTCCAGATCCTGTACAAGGGTACTCTGTAATCTTTTCTTTTATGTGTTGCGATCCTTCCTGGGACTATAATAATTGCCTTTGAGAAATCATCTCCATGGAGAATTAGATTTTTATTCATACATTATGCGTGCACACTATTCACCCACTTCCTTATACATCTTCAGCGTAGAGAGAAGAAACCTCAAAAGAACCATCACTGCTGGTTCCTTGGGGAAAGGGGGAGCCAGCTGTCCAGCACATCTTTTCCTGAGCGGCGCCCCACGAAGACCTCAATGTACTGCCTGAGCACTGTGCCAAGGAAGAGTAGAGCACTTTCAATGAGCTGATCAAACTGCCATGTGAAAAACCACACTTCTGCCACTTGCAAAAGTGTGGTGCAGGCTCTCGGGCATGAGCCTTGCCATGCCTGCTGTGAGATAGCTTAGCGAAGCTACCCTACCTGCAGGCACATCAGCTGCCAGCAGTTGGAAAAGAAATGGGATGGAGAGAATGCTTTCTCCCAGCCTGGCCTGACAAGGATACTGTTGATGTCTTTCTGGAAGCAAACTGGAGAATTAAATACCACCATTAAACTTTTCATTTAGAATTTAAGACCAAAGGCTCTCCACCACCGAGAGATTCAGAGAGACCAGCAGAAAAGCTTCTTAGACTTTAGAAACTGTTACAGTCTGCATGAGGTCTCCTCCCCTCAAAATGTGTACCCTGAAGTGCCTCAGAATAAGACCATATTTGGGGAAAGGGGGCTTTACAAAAGCAAGCAAGTTAAAATGAGGTCTTTATGGTGGACTCTAACCCAGTACAACTGGTGTCTTTAGAAGAAGAGTTAGGACATACAAACACACAGATGAAAGACCACATGAAAACTCGGGAGAAGACGGGTGCTCACCTGCTGGGGACAAGGCAGCAGAAGAAACCAAGGCTGCAGACAATGATGATCTTGGACTTTTACCTCCAAGACTGTGAGAAAGCAAATTTGTGTTGCGTACGCCACCATGTGTGGTACTCTTTATGGAAGCCCTAACAAATGAGTACAAGAACCCACAGCCCAAAGAGAGAGTAAAGTCAGATTTTGACCTTAAAACTCAGGTTGGGGCCAGCTTTCCACTTCAGCACACCCCTCCTCTGGCTCACGCGCTTGCCATGCCCGAACTGGTTCCAGCAGTGAACATATGTAAGCACCACACTAGAGGAGTTATTTCTTCTACTCTATATAAAGGATGTTTATTTTTGGTGAAGGACTGGTACCTGGTGCTTAAACGCCATGTGTGGGCTTTTAATCTTCATCTCTGGATTCCAGACTCACTGTCCCCATTGTTCTTGCTAGCTGTCCACAGTTGGCATCACCATCTGCAGTCGGATCCCGCTACCGACTCACAGCCTGTTGCTAACTCTGTCTGAGTGTTGGCTCTCCATTTGGCCTCACAACTCTATTCTTTTTTAAATTAATTTTATTGAGAAACAAATAGCAATGAGACAGTTTCAAAACATGTTAGCAGGTCAGTTTCAATAATTCATACATTGCATATAACCGTTATTCATAGTACAAGATGCAGACATGATATCCTGTCCAAACACTATTAGTACAAATCTTTCTTCTCATTGAATTAAGGGAAAGTAGCTGTATATCTATGCTATTTTGTATATATAGATACAAAATGGTCCTTCATTTGTATCCCCTTTTTTGTTTAATTTGGTCATAGATGGGTCTTCCATTGTCATTTAAATATTGTAGGTGTGTGAATTCATCAAAATAATCCAATATAGTCCAGTAGTCCATACTAGTAGTGGGTTATCCATAGGATTGGCAATGGCAGAAGTTGTTGACTTGAGCCTTTTACAGTTCAGCATATTAAAATGGCTTTACTTTTTATACCTCATTTTTATACTTTTCTGCTGGATGGTTAAGATCAATTACTGCTATACTGTCTCTCAAGTAAATGTTTGTTTAAAAGAAAGGGTAATAAATGAAAATAAGAGACAAGAGAAAAAAGTCATAGGACTATCCTGCTACAATACTGTATATGGTTAGATTTCTAAATTTCTGTGTAAAAATATGTAATTGTTTATTCCTATTTTTTAGTTTTTTTATTTTTCTTCACATTCTGTAGGTATTTAAAGTTTAACATAACAATACTTGATGGGAAATACTTGTTCCATATTATGTCAAAGATGTTTGATATTCAAAAAGATAGTGAGGTTAAACTCAACCGCCTATGTTATAGGGTAATAATAGCATTAAGCTTCTCTTCTGGAGGGTTAACAACTTAAGTTTGCAGACCAAAAATTAGAGAAAAAGGGATACAAGGGTAGCCAACATTTTGGCCCTAACTTTTCAAAGTCAGTGAGGACTCAGGACATAAGAGAACCTGTGTAACTCAGTGGTGTCCCATATTTTCTGACCAAGGAGATTATGAAGCCACAGAGGAAAGTGATCAACGATGTATAGTGTTTCTAAGGAGAGTCATATGGAGAGAAAACATTCTCTCAGGCTTTCACAGAGAGCAAATTGGTCAAGCAATGCCCATGACTCATCCACATGGCTGACACTGACAAAGGATCTACAAACTGCGCTACAAGGTTTCAGGGTAAATCCTGAGGGGATTTGACTGAACTTGTCAGATACAAAAGTTACATTTCTTGCTATATAAGTCTTGCTTTATCTTGGACACAACTCTATTCTTCATTTTCTCTCAACTCCTTAAACTTGGAAAGTACAGTGTCACAGGCAATGTGAGTTCTGTCATCCAATACATCAGAAACTCATTGATGCTGGATGTCATGGTGCACCTCTGTAATCTGGGCCCTCTGGGTGGCCCAGGCAGGAGGATCAGTTCTAGTGCAATCTCAGCAATATAGTGAGAACCAGAGTCGGGGATGTAGCTCAGTATGAGGGCCCTGCGTTCCATCACTGGGACCATGAAAGAAGAATAAGCAGGAGGAAGGGTGGAAGGGAAGTAAACAAGCCACTGAAGTTCGTTCAGAAAGTTAGTCTGCATTAATTTTACACAATTTCTAATGCTTGTCTCAGAGAAAGGAACACCCTTCGGATCCATGCTTACAAACATCTTTTTATAGGTAACAGATGATCATATAGGCCACTTGAAATCACAGAAAAATACAGAAGGCAAGAAATAAGCTAAATTAGCAACTTCTCCTTGCTTTTAACTTCAAAGATGTTTTCAAAATACTGTGCTAATAATAATGTACATTGTTGTCTGTTATCCTTTTTTCTATTAACAAAACTCAAATCTACCACATTTTTTCTTATGAGTTGTTGGTACTCTTAGTTTTCAAGAAAAATTTATATTCCTATAATTAAACACATATTTTTAAAAGAATGATTTTATGCCATGTTCAGAAAACCAAAATAAGCATAGACATACCTTATGCAACATCCAACCCTTGTTAGAAGAGAAAGTTTCATAAAAGAATAAATTCCTTTCAAAACTTCACATAACTTTCTTTTTTTGGTCTGTTCCAAATAGCAATCAGTGGTCCTATTTCAAACAGGAAGCTCAGGTCGATGGCAGGGTTTTACCAGGAATGGTACATGACCCAGTATAATTTAAAGAAATTCTTAAAAAGCTGTGTGCATCTTAACTGTTACTTATGATCTGGAAGGAAGGGAGGTTTGCTGGGAAGAAGCTGAAGAAGGCTCTTATTCCAAAAAGATTTCATAGGGTTGCCATGCTTCTTGGAGAATATACTTAAATTCAGAAAGTTCAATAGGCATCTTTAAAGAAAATGGTTTCTGCATGAATTGCCTAACAGTGTGTTAATCTGTTAATCAGTAAATTAAGTATAACATTGGACTTAGAATTTGGTTTTCTAAATTAACTAAAAAAAAAATGACACCTTGAAAAATTGAATTTTTATTTTTATCTCAAAATAAGCTCAGAGTAGTGGCGCCTGTTTACAACTTCCTTCATTTAATTGGCTTTCTTAATATGAAATAGTATTTCTAGAACTAATTAAAATTTTATTCTAATGAATATTTAATGCCAAAATATGTTATCTTTGCAGCACAGTACATAGATTTTTAAATTATCCAAAAAGGTAATTATATATATTTTTTACATTCTCAAAAAGTCATATATTGTTATTGATGACATATGGGTTGTTTGCTTTCCTCTCAGGCCATGATTGAAGAAGCCATCACCAGAACTGAATCTTTCTCGGTCATGTACACACCTTTTGCAACAAAAATAAGTGCTGATAAAATAGAAAAAGTAAAAGAAGTATTCACAAAAACTCATCCTGCCTATGTGGAGTACATCTACACAGGTGAGATTCAGTATCTGTACATTATGAATCAATACTTTATTTCCACTGAAGCAAATTCAGGCCCTTTGCAGTTGATTTGTTTGCCATTTCTATTTTAGGGTTACATTGCTTTAACCTGATGAGAAGCTATTTTTATGGTTTAAAGGAACACCAGCCTTAGACAGATGTACAATATTCTTTGTACCTTCACATTTCTATAGTTATAAAGCAAAGGATAAAACCTAGAAATCTGTTTAACGTGAAAATGAAGGAAAGGCCTGTCATAAATGTCACCTTTCTCCACATCTTTTATCAGTGCACTAGCAATGGCCTGAAGATGGATTTTCCTCTCAGTGTCACTGTTTCTACTTCCCTTCCACCATTCATTTCATCCCTCAGAACTCTCTCTTTCCTAGTAATTTTGAATCTCTGGTATCCACCTGCAACCTGGAAGCCAAGAGTACCCTGCAGGACCCACACTGACACCCTTTATTCCTCTTTTTGTCTTTAGAAGTAACTAAATGAAGGGCCACACAATGACTGCTATCTTTTAAAAACTCCTTAAATGCACACATCTAATAATTTCACAGCCTTTTATTAAGGTGCTTTCATGCCTTATTTTCAAATCTTAGGGGGCTGAATCACTGATTTATAGGATTAATAATATCCTCTATAAATAATCACCTTTAAAATATCAAGCACTCTATTTATTTTATGTTAGGAGTTTATAAGATAAAATGATTTTCACTAGAAAAATCAAAAGCTAGAGGAGAAGACAAATGGCTTTTCCAGAAAGGCACAGAAGATTGGACAGCGATTTGAACTCATGTCCTTGCCATAGAACGGCACTGTCTGCAAGTAACAAAAGCATTAATTTTTTAGGGCCCATGGAGTCTTATTTTTATCCATAAATGTCTCAAGTTCTTCAGGGAGAAAATGCTAAATACATCCAACTAGTAATAAATAATAAATCCCTAAGGAACAAAGGGAATGTGAGTACAGAGAAGGAAAAAAGAAAAATATAATTAACAATGCATGTTAAAATGACTGCTGATGCAAATTTCCCTAGTTTGAGGATTTTAGAAAAAAATAGATAAAAATTCCTCGAAACTCACAGTTTTGCTAATTGATACAACTTGTTATTACGTTGTTAGGAATATTTAAGGATTTTTTGGGGGGTGAAGGGGCTTACTAGTAGAATCACCAGGAAAGAGTCCAGTTCAACTACTTCCATTTCTACTCTCCGATCCACTCAAATGAAGGAGTCATTGCTATCCCTAGTTTGCCAATTTCTCTCCTGGTACAATGAGTTTGGTTATATTTAACCCACTTCAAAGAGAAGTCATGACGATTAATTAATGCCTCGGAAGCACTATTGCTGCTGAAAGTTTAAAAACAATAATAACATTAATGAGGCAGACTCATGTCTCACGTAGCTCCATCAAACCTGTTATCAAGATGAATTATGATCTGCCGGCAAGACAATTCACACGAAAGGATCTTATACTTTGGAAGAGAAGATAATTATAAGTTACTAATAATTGTTTCTATTATTTTATAATTAGTAATTGCTAGAGTATGACAGTGCGACATGAGAACCAAGGGGAAAGACACAGCTTCTGGAGGGAGAATAGGAGGGAGAGAAAGCAGCCTAGAATTTCAATTGCATTGGAGCAGGTAAGGTTGTTTTCTCTGTGGAAGCAGTGCTTTGGAACCACGCTACAGGGTGACATTTGTCTCTCTGGTAAATAAGGAAGGGATTTCATCCCAATCACTTCCTGGGATGAAGATGAGAGGACTCTGCCCAGTCGCATGGACAGTTTCAGAGCTGTGGCTTCTCTTCCCCTAAGCACTTGAAGGTGACTGAGGGTACAGAGCATCGCAAGAGGGAAGGTTAAGTGTTTTCTTTACCAGCCGGCTATCTCTCCCAGGAGGAACATCTTAGATGAGGAAGGCACCGTCAAAGTTTCACTGGAGAAGAGAGGCAGGAAAGGAAAATGGAACTACAGGAGTGACTGTTTTCTTGGGCTTCTCACAACTCAGCATTCTTCTTCTGTCACCTTTCATTGGCTTCTTGTATCACCACTTACCAAATATTCATGCAGTCCGGGTCACTGTACAGTGATGCAGCAGATGTCTGCAGATGGAAGATGCTATATGGTTGCAACGAACTCCATGTAAAATGTGCACAAGTCCTTGCTCACTCAGTTCTAAGGGCTGAGTAAACGTTCTTCCCTGTGAAGTCAGCTGCAGCCTCAAGAGCAGTCAGAATTCATACACATACTCTTCTACCTCAGGTTCACTGTTTCACAGACAGCTCTGGATGAATGTGCTCTCAAACACCTTTACATTCACCCACTGAGTGTTAGTGAATATTTTAAGAGCACTACCAGTAACCCTTGGGAGATAAAATACAATTATGAAGGAGGGCATGACACGGTATCCTGTGGATTCATTACTGTGGGAGGCTAGGGTGGGAAGATTGCAAGTTCGAGCCCAGGACAACTTAGCAACTTCAAAAAACGTGTCTCAAAACAAAAAACAAAAAAAATTTTGGCTATTGTCTTTGGATCCAATAGCCAAAGGGGGAGAAAAAAAAAAAAAAAAAAAAAAGAAAGAAAGAAAGA